CTCTTAGCTGTAGAGGGCAGTGTCACTGGCCCTCATATGTGGGATCCGAACCGGGGCCCTCTGGCATCCCAAGCGAGTTCTTAACCATCGTGCCACTCGGCCGGCCCAGGAAATTTTTTTCAAAGTGAAATTACAACAGTATCTACTGTCTAATCACATATCTATTCTTAATGATGAAAGCTGGATAAAACCTGCCCTAATTCACAGCACAGTTTCACCTTGATTCTCAGAGCAGTTCTCTAGCCTGCAGTAATGGCCGTCACCTGGGAGACGGTTAGTGATGCAGAGTCTCAGGTCACATTTCACATGTGTGGAATTAGAATTTAAACTTGAATAAGAAGGCCTTGGGATTTACATGCACATTAACCTTTAAGAAGTGTTGTCAGCCTCAGTAGGTGTAGGGTGGACCTGTGATTCTGCACCTCCAACAGGCTCCCGGGGAATGCTGTTGCCGCTAGTCCATAATTCAAATTTGCAATAGCAGGGCGCTACAACTTGGTCACAGAGAAACTTAATGCAGTTACTCGCATTGACTCTCAAGCTGAGTTAACTTGGCAGTTACTGAACATAAAGCAGGAATGCTGTGATGGTGTATTTAACTCCTATGTACACTTTGTAAAAGTATGTATGTGCAGACCTCGATTGAAAAAAAAGTTTGGAGAACTCCATCTTTCCATATCTTTGACACATTTTCAAGAAGTTCAGATATATGCATAGAGATTACAAAAGCATAATTCTCAGATCTGCCTAAAAATGAATTCTGGGCAGCACAGGCCAATCAGTGTGCTTGCATATTTGTATTTCCGGTTTTCAAAATAGTTAAAAATGTATTTCAAAAATGAAACAAATATTTAGAAATCTAGAATCTCACAGTTTGAAAACCATTGGTAAAGTGAAAAGACTGGGCACTAATGTATTTTTGACTTTGGGCAAAACGCTTAACCTTTCTGGGCTTCTTCAATAGTAAAATTAAAGGTTCTGACTAAATAGTCTCTCCCTTAAGATGAATTCTTAACTTCTGTGCTTTCATGATGTATTAGTCAGGGTCCTCTGGAGAAACAGAGCCAGTGGGATGGATGGATATATATAGAAAATGAGATTTATTCTAAGAAATCAGCTCACATGATTATGAAGACTGAGCAGTTCTGCGATCTGTCTTCTGCACGCTGGAGGATGCAGGAAAGTTAATGGTGTAAATTCCAGCTCAAGTCCAGAGGCCTGAGAACAGGAGAGCCAATGTTGTAAGTCCCAGCCCTCCGCAGGAGAAGATATATGTTTCAGCTCAGCAGACAGAGGGAAAGAATTCAACCTTCTTCCGACTTTTTGTTCTGTTGGGGCTGTCAGTGTGTTGGATGATGTCCACCCACTTGGGGCACGCCAGTCTGCTGTGCTCAGTCCACCAATTCAAATGCAGAAACACACTCACAGACACACGTAGAAATAATGTTTAACCCGATATCTGGGCATCCTGTGGCCTAGTTAGGTCGACACACAAAATTAACCATAACGCGTGTCTTGCTGTGCAGCCTGATAGACCTTTATAGTTTCATTAAGTCCAACTCCTTGATTATAGCAGTTGGTATAGCATAGGGTAGAGCTAAGGATTTGAGACAGCAGATAAGGATGTGTCCTTGAGCAAGTAACAGCCTACAGGTGAGGACCCGTAAAATGGAGGTAATCGTGGTGCTTATGCCATACATGGTTTTGAAGATTAAGTTAAGTAATGAGTATAAAACACTTAGTGTAAGTTGTTTAGCATATGTTAGCTGTTGTTTCTTTTCCAGATGAGAAAACTGAGGTTGGAGAAGTAAGTTATTTGTCTAAGATTTAATATTCCATTATTATAGACTTGGGTCTAGAAACCAGACCTTCTGATTCCCATTACAGTCTCCTCTCAATTCTTTAGGCTGGCTTTGCTGAATGAAATGCCCACCGTTTAAACTTGAAAAAAATGTGTTAACAAATTCTTTAAAATTTTGTCTGATCAAATGGCTCCCCACTGGCCACATTGCTTTCTTTATGTGTCTTTTATTTTTCATCAGAATAATTTGTGATTATCTGAACAGTTTTACCTTTACAGTTAATTATATTCAATATACTGGGGATATAGGTGATCAATTCTTGAATTTTTTTAACATCTGTTTTTCTAAAGAGAGGGATGTGGGTGTGTGTAAATTGTGTGTGTATATTAACTGTTACATCTTTACAATTTTGGATGAAATGGCCATTTTCCTCCTACTGTTTCTATCATTTGTTTTGTGAATCATTTTTTGTTGTTGTTCAGAAAGAATTACAACCAAGCAGCAATTTCCCTCATTGCTTTTTCTTCCTAGTTGTGAGATTGACAATAAGGTTGGTTCATGAACAACTTCAGTTTAACATTTGGTTTTATAAATGTTATGATATGCTCACTTTGATTTCAGTTCTTAATTTAACTTTTAAAACCTTTTTTTCTCTTGCAGTTGAAAACAATCCTCGAACAGGAAACCTTGGTGCATTAATTAAGGTCTTCCTTTGTAGAACCAAAGAACTAAAGCTTTCAGCTGAATGTCAGAAGTAAGCTGGCTGATTAAATCATGTTCTCTTTATATTTAACAATATGAGCATTTTGTCATTTATTGGTAGAAATAGATTATGGTCTTTTGAAAGCTATAAAGGAATTATTCTCATTATTAAGGGAAAAAAGTAAAAGAAAAGTTTTAATTTGCTGTCCAAGTCATTGGGGTGAGGTTATAAATTCTGGAATCATTGATTTCAGCGTTTTAGACAATCTTTAGAAATATATTTTTTAAGAAGATTAATAATGATGTAATTATTACTAAAAAGGTAGTTTTCCCCCATTATCACTGCTGGTCATATCTAATTTGAATAATGACTTAGTTTGAGTATTATTTCATTTCATATCTGTTTCCTTTATTTCATATTAGATGAAATAACGTTCAGATTAGATATTAATTTTATTAGTTTTAATTTATGTGCAATGGAAAGTTAACCTTTTATGCACTCAAGCTTCTTTTACAACCATTTTTGGATGACAGTCTCTTAAAAGATTGTTTGTTGCCTTGCTTTCAAAACTATATTGAATTCAATTAAATTTCTTATTGTGAGTTCATGGTTATTAACACAAATAGCAAGTATTGTACTGTGCTGCTGGTGATGCGCCATTTAAAATTTTGGTTGTGTATTTGCATTTATTTATGTTACTATATATTTTTTATTTTTTAGCTTTCTTTTCTTTGACATGCCTATGTGTGGGACAACTATAAAGTTCAGAGCAAAGAGCAGTCATGCCTAAAGGGAAATATTTTTATTAAGTCGTCTTACTATATAAAGTACACAGAATAAAATACGAAGTAAACTGTAATAGATAATACTGGCCCAGTGTTATGAATCATGAGACGTTAAAAGATATGGACAGTTTTCTAATATTACAAACAGAATGGGCAAAGAAGTTGAGAAATCATGAAGAAATCATGAACTAGAAATGAACCTGTTATGCTCATGATTAAATATTGATTCTTGTGTGATTTTGGTCTTTTCTTTCTAGCCACATCTTCATTTGGCAGACTCACAATGCTTTGTTTATTATTTGCTGTTTGCTGAAAGTGTTCATTTGTGAGATGTCAGAGGAGGAATTACAACTTCATTTTACTTATGAAGAAAAATCTCCTGGCAGTTACAGTAAGTATCGTCTTTGAAGATGTTCGGGGACAGCATTTGTAACATAAACATAAGATTTGAGGAATAAAAATATAATTTCGAAAATTCCATTTTCCTTTCCTAATAATTTTCATTTCTAAATGACCTGGCATTGTCACTCTTTCTTCCCCTATGTTAATTTAAATAAGCCAAGACTCATTTTTTTTTCCCTGTTTTAAAATAAGCCGGAAGGATTGAGGTTTTTATTTATTGACTTCCATACATATGGAAAATAAAAATAAAATCACAGGTATTTCTTTCAGGAAACAGATGTCAATTTAAATGCCTTTACTAGGGCAGTACATTATTAAGGGAGACAACCAGTCAGGATCACCGATTTTGTCGGTGTTAAAAGTTGTTTTCATAGGCTATAACAACAGTTTCTGAGCTTGGGAGTCTTAGAGACTACTTGATCAGAATCAGCATTTTCAAGGACAGTTGTATGATGCTGAAATGTGTCATCTTTTTCTGAAGATACAGGAAAATGTTACCATTTTCTCCCGATACAGCGAAGATTTTTTTTTTTGCCAGTAGTTAGAAGGGCGTGTAGTTTTCAATATCAGCTGCTCATGCTTCATTTCTTAGCATTAAAATTTACAACCTGGAAAGTAAAAGGGGAGAATGGGAGTATTAAATGAAATATGAAGAATGCAGTGTATTGCATCTACCCTTCGCACTACTGCCTCTCTCTCTGAGGGCAGAGGCAGTGTTGCTCCTGCGTGTCCTGGGTTCATTTTTCAAAACCCACCTCTGCCCTCATTAGCCTTTCTTGCCTACCTGGAGCTTTATGCATTGGTTTTGAGATTTAAGACATGAATATCTTTAATTTCCTACTTTGATAATCAGCCTTCTGTATTTATATACTGATGTTTAAACAGAGCTTTTATTTGCATTGTGTCTTGCATGTGCTAATTTTGTTAACGCTAGGCTAGGCGTTGTTTTTGTGGGACCAACAGTGCTAAAACAGTTCTGGAACTCAGGGAGTTGCACACCTCACCGGGTTCTAGCAGCAAGAGTGGAGCTTATGTTTATCTCCATAGGGCCTGAAAGGATACTCCAACCAGCATCTGCAAACCCAACACTTAGTTCTGCATTAGGTCACAAAATTATGTATATGTTATACTTTATTTAACACAGTATTTATTTTCATATAAAGTTATTTTTCACTACTTACCATTCAGTAAATTGACGCACTTGAGAGATACACTGTATTTGTTTCGGGGCCAAAGGTCCTCTCTCTACCTGCACTCCCCCCTCATATTCAAGCTTGAGAAACATGGGTTTGCTGTGCATCCTAGGTAGCCTAACGTAGAGGCAGTGTCAAAATGACACTTTTCCAATCACGGCCTCATTGCCAGGATGGTTGTCTCACTGAAAGAGCCATATGTGACACCTGACGATTGGTGATTCTGCCCGTGTACTGGCAAGACTGTCTTTTTATATGGAGTTAGCAGTTCAGGATTTTATACATGCTCTTTTAGTTTTGTCATTTTCCTTTTACAGTTGAGCCTCCTGTTGGTCCACCAGCTTAAGTCAGTGAATATCTTTTTAAGACTAAAGTTAGACTTGCTGTTTTTGACATATGTACTCATTTTCTTCTTAGCCTTATAAGTTATCAGTTTCAGGTTTCTGCTTTTTATCACATAGTGTAAGGTATATTTTCTACCAATGTTTTTCTACAGTTTATAAAAATGTGATAAACTTACGTGATTGCACAGATACTGTTGGATGGGAAAAAGTGGAACCTTATGCAGTAGTTGAAAACATCCATTTATCAGCTAATATATGACTCCCTGAATTAGGTGTGTGAAGGACGGTTTAGCTAGATAATGCACAGAAGTACAGGTTTTCTGAAGTTGAATTGTCAGAAGTAGAGAACCATCTGCAAACAATTGAACAAAGTCAACTGAGGCATTTGGGTCTGATAGCATACTGAATTTTTTGTTTATTCCAATTCATTGTAATATTACTGCGATGAAATGGATACTGCTCACATATTCAGGGGAACTGTCTTTATGAAGGTAACATGACTCTCAATAAGCTCTCATTTTGTAGTCAAACTTTGTAAGGACTTCATATTTGAACATTTTCCCATAGGCTATGTATGATGTGGTAGTAGTTTGTTTGCTAGAGAGAATTTGTAGCATTATGCAGATAGCTCTTTCTACTATTCCATGCATTAGAGAATAGTCAGTGGGGACAAAGCAAGCCCTAGGCAAAACTATGAAGTACTGCAAAATTGTTTCCGTTTTCCTTTTGCCCTCAATGGGAGTTTTCCTTTCCTGTCTTGGTAATAACTGATATTTATTTTACATTTTGTGTCTCATAAATCCAATATTTTAAGTCCTTAGAGGGGTGTAAATCTGTTGCTGGTATCTGTGAACACTTATGGTGGTTTCCTTATGTAGCTGATGTTGATTTTCATCTTAATCTGAGGCCCCAAAATAAGGGATACAGAGGCTGCACCCCCGAGGCCACTTCAGCCTCCTTGAGCGGTTCGGGGCTTAATGTGGCATCTCAGATTCAGCTTCCTTTCCTTGCCACTGGCTGAAGGTTTAGTCTCCCAGTGTCGCCTTCATATTAGCATTCATCCTCACGGTCACCTACCCTTAGAGTTTAACTGTTTACTGCTCAGTGTTTTACTCTGGATGCAAGCCAGTTTGTTCGCTTGTGGTGGTTCTTTTTGGTTATGGTACTGGGGTCCTTGGAGATTTCCTTTACTTTTTGGAAACCCATCAATGCACTAAAAAGTGTATTTTAGCCAAGAACTTGAAGTTGTTTTGTACAGAAGAGCCCTTTGGAGTAACTACTTCACTATACTGCGGCCAGTAGAAGGCAATTATAGTTTCTTTACAAATATTTTTTAATTTTTTAAATGAGGAAGAACTCTGTAGAGATTGAGAGACTGAAGATAGAAGAAAAAAAAAAAAAGATTTGGGGTGGAAGCTGAAAGGAAAGTCCAAAGAGGAGGCACTTGGATCACAGGCACAGGGAGAGAGCACGGATTAGCTTTGCAAGAGCGCATCACCTGTGCCCTGAGTGGGCAGCTGTGTGGGTGCTGAGGGGAAGGAAGGCGCAGGCAGGGCACCTGCTGTGAGCTGGGGAGAGCAGCGGATGTGAGCCTGAGGAGAGTGGGAACCAGTCAGCACAGCTTTGTGGGGAGTAGAAGAGAGACGAGGGACTTGTCAAGTCCAGGTAAAAGGCTTGCTTAACTACACTTCCTTGGTGTAAAATAGTTCAGTATGAATTTATTTCAGAAAATTGCTTATTTTGTAAGACTTGCTCTTAAGCCTAGTGGATTCAACATACTCGTTTATCTTTGCTTTCTCCTGAAACCCCAATAAAATATCAATAAGGGACTTATAAAAAGTCATGCATTTATTATTAGGTTAAAGAGGAGGAAAGGGATACAATGTTAACATTTTGCAAATTGGAAAACAGTAATGATACACTTAACTGATCAGTGAAAGCTGAAAGCTTCAAGCCTTCAGGGTTGGAGAGCTTCGAAAAAAAGCCCTTTCTGGCCATAGAACCCTGGAAAGGCTTCGGAGTTGGAAATGCCAGGTGTGTCTGTAGGCAGACAACCAGGAGGACTGGTTGAAAGAAGCAGTTAGATGCCCAGATCCTCCCCTCGCTGTGCAGTCAGGAGACCAGCCCCTCCCCAGTTTAATCCTAGAATCCGGGAACTCCCAGCACAGTGGAGGGGGGCATACTGGGAAACAGCGTTAAGAGAAAAGTCCAGCGGAAGAGAAGGCTTGGCTTCTAGAATCATGGCACCAGGGTTTTGTCCACCCCACTCCCTTTCCCGGCAGAAGATTAGTGGATACGCTTGTGGAGAAAATGGATAAAAACATGGAAGAGGCTTAGAGATACTGACATTTGGGTATAATGTCAATGAAACAGCCTGGACCACTCCCGCAGGAACCACTGCTTGACAGGCTGGACCTGTGTGTGCAGAGGCTCCATCAGCGTTTGCCTCCCTCTGGCAGGGAGATGGAGAGCCAAGGATCCCAAACAGTTGAAAAGACCTACTACGTGAGAGCAAAACAAAAAAAAAAATGATGAGATAGGAAGTTTGTGGAAATTTAGAAAAACAAAATCCATAATTGTACCTCTCAAACACAACCAATATTCTTTCCATTACCCTCTGGCTTAAAATCTTTTTGAAACTCTGGAATTACCTTCAAGAACTGTGTTGTCTTCATTTTCTAGAGGCACTGGAGGTAAATCCCTCTCCTTTGAAGCTAGCTTGGATTTTTCGGATGGCTGAGTTGCTTTGGCTCCCATGGCTGCAGGGTTTCACTGCTCTCTCTTCTCTGCTCGAGCTAGTCCCTAGGGCCAGGGCAGGCTGTGGCTCAAAGAGGGAAACTTGAAATTGTGTGGTGGGGGTGGGGGAGGGTGAGTGGTGTCTGCTTTGTTTATTTTTGTCTAAATATAGAACTTACCAGATTAATTTCATTCTATAGATAAGTAATGCAAAAATAGTAAACATAGCTGAAAAAGGTGACTCAGAGAAAAAAGAAAGCATGGATTTATTTCTTTAAAATATTTAACATGTAAGACTTGTAACTGTCTTTGCAGAAAAATAAATGCTTCTAGGAGCTCCTAAATTGTTCTTTGGGCATATAATAGGTGATCTCTCTCTCTCTTTTCTTTCTTTTATGTTATCAGTGGAACAAAAATCAATTAAACTTTACTAATAGGCACATTTTATTTATGAAGCCTGGAAAAATGTATTATCCTTGAGGATAATTAGAAACATTTCCGTTCAACCACAATTATAGCAGACAACCAGAATTATTGCAGATTTTATTGGAATGGTGTGGAACACAGGCTTATAAATATTATAATGCATTAAAATGTAGATCAATATTATTTTTAGAATAGAGGGAGTCCATTTGTGTTAATTTATGATTAATGTACAGAAGCATATTTGATTTTGCTAATTAGAAGTTTAAATATGACTTTTAATATTTTAGAGC